GACCCGCCACATCTTAAGGTAGATCTACAAGGACACCCGTCCTATCCGCACACAGAAGACCCTTACCTTGCCTTTGCCTCATCATAGCTCAAGTGGGTAGCCACGAGACGGGCAGTCCTTGTACAGCTATCTGAGTGTCGCAAGTGGCCGTTATTCAGTTTTCTGAAACAACGGGGTAGGCGGTGGTTAGTGTCGCTGCGGCGTTGCAGCCGCCCATTGGCTGGGCGAGCCAGCGCAGGCGTTACATGTCGCGACCGCGCTTCAGATGCAGGTACCCGGAGCTGGACAGGAGATGTGTGAGAGGTGTGTGTCGCGCGTGTACTTAATTGAGCTGCCTCGGCGGCTGCGTATGGACTGGCGGGCGAGGCGCGAACCACAATCGCCCGAGATGAGACGGTTACGGCGCCTGCGTGGCTGAGGCGCGTGGATGCGTTCGCACGTGGAGTCTAGGAGCCTAGAAGAGAGAAGCTATCAAGATGCGGACTTGGCTTTCTTGGAGTGTACGTATGACGGGTTTGACGTGTGTGTGATGGTTATAGATGCGAGCTGCGTCTACCCTGATGGCCGCTGTTCGTGCTTTAACTACCTCGCCGCCGCTTCCTTGCACGCAAACCTCCATCATCCCAGCACGACCACGAGTCTATATGCGGGGCTTCATATAGCAAGACACTTCGCATGATGGCAATTGTTTCATTGTTTCAATCATCTCCTCAGCTATAGTTCCTGACGTTTTTCTATAGTTTCCACATCCGCGCTGACCGCGTCCAACATCCTTGCCATGCGCAGTACTGCTTGGTCTGCCTACTCCATAACGATGACACTCCTGAACCTCACCTTTCCGCTTTCCATGTGCTTGACAGCATCTTCGACCTTGTCGAATGGGAACTTCTCGACCATGCACTTCACGCCCTGTTTCTCCGCAAAGTCAATCGCTTCCTCGCTGTCCAGCGCATGTCCGGATGGCCATCCATGGACCGATTTGCCCTTCATGATCAGGCTCACGGTGTTGACTGGAATATCTCCCACGGGTGCAAGGACAAGCAGTTTACCCAGAGGACCAAGTCCATCAACCAGCGGCCCTATGATCTGCGGGTTTGGTGCCGTGACGACAATGAGGCTTGCGCCACCCATCTTCTGTAGTGCCTCGGCGGCATTTTCTTTCGATGTGTCGATGTAGTCGTTTGCGCCGAGCTGGTGAGCAAAGTCCTTTTTGCTGTCCGAAGATGATACAGCGACCGTGCGGTAGCCCATCTTGCGAGCGTACTGGAGTGCCAGATGACCTAGGCCACCAAGTCCTTGCACGGCGACAGTGTCCCCCTGCTGGATGTTCATCTTGCGGATGCCATTGAATACGGTAACGCCGGCGCAGAGTAGAGGAGCGTACTCGGCGGGGTTGGCATCGGCGGGAATACGCACTGCAGCCTCGCTGCGGAGGGTACAGTACTCGGCATCTAATATCGCGTGTCAGTCCACCATTTTGGATGTGTCGATATTCCAGCAAGAAGGTAAAACTCACATCCACCATCCCTACTAACTCCATTAACAAGCTCATTCTCGCACATCTGGAACATTCCCTTATTACAGGACTTGCAGCTTCCATCATGAGAACCATGCCATCCTCCACCAACACGGTCTCCAACCTTCCACTTCTTTTCGCCATCGCCAACTGCGATTACCTTCCCAATAACTTCATGTCCCGGGACACGAGGGTAGACGTCTCCCAGATGGCCCTGTTGCATGAAGCTGTCCGAATGGCAGATACCACACGCGAGTACCTTGATCAGGACCTCGCCCGACTTTGGCGCAGAGACGGGGACATCTTTGATCGTCCAAGGCGCGCCCTTCTTCTCAATCACGACGGCGCGGCAAGAGGAGGGGATGTCGGATGAAGACATGATGTTGTTTGTTGTACGAGTGTGCTGAGATTGAGCAGGTAAAGTGCAGAGATCAAGCTTCCTTAAGCGTGGACGCAAGCGTTTGTAGGTGCAGTAGTCAAGACGGTGTTGATCTGTGATGTCAACGAGCTGAGGTAGGCGCGACCTAGCCCTCTTTTATCTCGCCCTCCGTCATGCATGTGTGCATACATCATCGTTATCACCTATCACCGTTCCTTTTTTCCCCGCATCAACCGACGACTAAACATTTAGATTCGTCCTGGTCGACCAGACATGCTTCCGCGACATCCCATATTACGCCCTGCACGATGATCAAAAGAGCAGCCCAAACTTGACATCATACGCCGTAGTCGTCCGCACCTTCCGAACTACACCATCACCCCGCCTATTCCCGCGTTGATTGGCCTGGGCATACTTGCTCCTCGCATACCGATTGGCAAATAGCGGTACGCCCAACAGGCTTGACGCTAACGCCGACGGAGCCGAGACTGCTATTTGGGTGTCTTATAAACAGTCATGTATCTAATCAGCCATTTGCAGCGGACAGATTCCGCGTGGTGTTCGATTAGCGCGGAGTTTGCGGTTTTTAGACGCATTGTAGGAATGCACAATACTGAGAAACATGCAACCAACTTTCGAGAGATGCAAGGCAAAACGTGTTGGGGTATCATTTTAATGCTCTCTACCTTCCCGTTAGAACTCATGAAACGCCCTACCAGGCGTCAAAGTTGCCAAAACCACCTGTCTTTGCTTTCTTCTTGACAGGCGCAACATCCTCCTCATCATCCACGTATCCAACTATCTCATCGTCGCCCTGGTTTTGTATCTCCTGTTTCGCAGCTTGGAGATACTTGCCTACACCGAGACCTTCACCCATGCCGTTCTCCACAGTGCCATCTGCGCGTATGCGCTTGCCTGTCCATGTTGTCTTGTCATCCGCTGTGCCACCTTGCCTTTTGATCTCCTCAGCTTCCAACTCCTTGTTTTCTTTGTCCTTGCGCTCCTTCTGCCACTCTTCAAACGGATCTACAAAGACTACCACGTCTAGTATCTCAATGTCATCAACAGGCTTGTCCTTCTCGCCTACTTCTGCGACCTCCATAGATCGAAGTGTGGTATCTAAACCACCAACTACTCGTGCGAAGATTGTGTGTTTGCGGTCGAGATGCGGTACAGCCCGGTACGTGATGAAGAACTGACTCGTGTTGGTGCCCTTGCCCTTGTTTGCCATACTGAGTACGCCTCTAGCGTTGTGCCTCTCTGGCCCCTCAAATTCGTCTTCGAATGGCTTGCCCCATATGCTTTGCCCGCCTCTTCCAGTGCCTGTTGGGTCACCACCTTGTATCATAAAGCCCTTGATATTCCTGTGGAAGATGGTGTGGCTGTAGTATCCCTTCTGTGCCAGCTTGACGAAGTTCCATACCGCGCGCGGTGCGTATTCGGGAAGGAGTTCGACGTTAAGATCGCCGAGGGAGGTGGAAATGCGTGCATAACCCTTGTTCTTTATGCGCTTCGGCTTGAGCATGTAGTCTTCGTCGGAGAGGAGGGCGCGTTCGCCGGAGGTATGCGGTGTGACGCCGGTCGAGGTAAAGGATGCGGCAGCTTTACCGGAGGTATACACGGCGGCATTGTATGCTGGTTTCTTGGGTTCAGAGGATGTCGATGCTGCTGTGCCATTCCTGGGTAGGTTCGCAAGGGCTTTCGATGTAATTCCGCTCTGCTCCTTGATCTTCCTGTTTTCGCGCGCCTTTGCAACTGCTTCTTTCGCCTTGAGGATCTTCGCAGCGTTGCCGAGCGCCTCTTTGTTCACACCGGTCTCCGCCTCTGCTACTACTGTGTCTCCGTCCTTCACATGCTTGTATGAGCTGAAATCTCTTGACTCGATGCTCTGAGGGTCCTGAAGTGTGATGATGTCCTTCCGTGTGAACGGGTCATCGCTGACCAGATCCTGCCAGTTCTTCGCCTTGATGTTCAGCCTCTCAACCGTGTCCCATGCGAAGACATTGCCGCTCTTCCTCAGCGCAACGATGTGCGTGTTGTCTGTGAAGACCTTGTATGTGACTGGATCAACGAATTCGCCGTCCTCGTTCTTGGTGAAGTTCAGCGTGATGAGATCGGCACGTTTCAATGGTGTTCCGTCGACGGGATTCGTGTCGGGGTGTTTCGATAGCCATGTAAGGATGTGGGTGAGATCGAATATGGTGCCCGATAATGTGCACACGGGATCCGTGAAGGGCTGTAGGGAGGCGGCGCAGTAGTTGAAGGGCAGGCGCTTGAAGGTTGAGGATAGGCCGGCAGCGGAGGCTCGATTTGCGCTGTTTGCGCCGCGCGCATTACCGAACGCATCCGAGGAGGACCACTCGGAGTGGGTGATGTATAGCTTGTCGGTTCCTTTGCCCATTGCGGATATACTTAGAAGAGATGATGTGGTTGGAGAGGCGCTGCGTGAGGCGCAAAATGCTGTAGGAGTGACGCGCCGGCGATCAGCCACCCTAGCGCGACTCCACATCTGAGTATCCACCCTTTTGTGGTGCTCTTACCTCCCCACTACGCCTCTATGGGAGCGGTATCTCATCGCATGTACCCAAGTACACCAGAACGACGCCCAGATATGGAGGAGAGGGCTATGCCGCGTGTCGAGCCTTTCATTGGCTAACACGAAGACGCTCAGCCGTACGTATATAAGCAGGCTGCCGTCTTTTGCGACAGCGCTTCAGCCTTCTCAACACCTTCTAAACACAACTCACGTACGCTGCATACAAAAGTCTTGGTAGTTTTTATCATCGTGTTATCTGGTGATAGGAGTGTCCTTTCGTAGGAGGATCAATGTACGTACGAGCAGATACCCTAGGAGTTTACATGACTGTTGAAAGGTTCGATTTTCCTTTCTCCAGACCGTTGTAGCCTGCAAAGCACATCAAGACCTACATTACTCATACAGATGTAGTTCCGTCCCTACATAGAGCAATTCGCGTTAACCTTGAAAATTCCTCATTACACGCGATGTCGACAATCCATCAGTCTGCTCCGCTGGACCTTAGCCCTACGATCAACACGCGACTGCTCACACTTGAGTTCGACTCTTTGGCGGCTGCACCCTCATCGATGATCTCTGTACGACTCCATGTGACGTCTCTTGTCGATGCACCTCCCTATACCGCCGTTTCGTACGTGTGGGGAGAACCATCGCCCACAAAACAGATTCTGCTCAATGGACAGCCCTTTACTGTGCGCCAAAATCTCTGGGATCTTCTCAGTCGCCTGCAGGAGGTGAAATACGACGATTATCTCTGGATTGACGCTCTTTCCATCGACCAAGCAAGCGACAGCGAGAAAACTCATCAAGTCGCTATCATGGGGTCCATATACACTAGAGCAAAGAAGACGATAGCTTGGCTTGGTACTGCGAGTATGGAGGTTGAAGAGCAGGTTCACGCCTTGAAAACAGAACTCACAGTGCAGGAACTCCCGTACTTGCGACAGCGACCTGCTAACAAAGACGACCCTCACGTGGCGGGCCTCAGATACATATTAGGCCATCCATACTGGACCCGTACGTGGATATTCCAAGAGTACTTGCTCTCATCGTCCGTCGGGTTTTGGTGCGGCAATGAGATCTTGTCGGATTTGGAGCTTAAGTCTAGAGCGGACAAGTTGTTGTCAGTCAAGGACCCCATCGAGACAAATGCGCAGGCAAAGGCCTTCTATCTGATTCAAATCGGGAGCAGGTCCGGTGTCACAGATTTTAGCTTAGAGTGGCTGATGGATGTATCGTCCGAAAGCGCCTGTGTCGATCCGCGCGATCGCATTTACGCGTTGCTCTCATTGATGTCGCCACAAGAACAGGAGCTTTGGGACATCACACCAGACTACGCAGCGTCGAACCAAGACCTATTTGAGCACTTGTGCAGTGTTTTTCAGTGCAGTGTTCTTCAGGACACTGATGAAGATGTTCAAAGAAAAGTGCGGAGACAGGAACAATGGAAAGAGGAGCTACGCTATATACTGCTCCTGGACCCTGTCGACGAAGATGGCCAAGACAAGACATATGTCTCTGTCGAAGAAGATCGTCAAGACAAGACATATGTTTCTGACGTCGTCGAGACCCGCCCACGAGATCATAGAGCATCGCGTTTAAGGGAGAAGTAGAAGGCTTTACTTGCTTTGTCAGGAATCAAGAGTTCCAATCTACAAAAGTAGATATCTCATGAGTCTGAATTAGTGTTGGTCGCAGTGGAATGTTGATGCAGAGTAGTGCATGATAAAGATCAGACATGTCTATGTAATATCCTTGATGCAGGTGTGCTTTCCAAACTCTAGTGCTCAGTTGTAGAAGCTCTCTTGCTGTGCATCCTTCTAGACTGCGAAGATGAAGCCCTCCTCTTCCAAAACATGTCCGCTATGAAGTATATCGCGAGGCCACATAGCCCGCCACCAGAGGCCGTATCGCCTACTGGGTTCTAAGCCACGAATAGCAGCCGCTCACCATCCAGTCACTCAATCACCGAAGTCACACATGCAAGACCAAGAAGTTTTAAACCAGACTCGCTAACATTCATCTATATACAGACCCAGACGAAAACCCTACAAAAAAGAGAAGCTGCTCCCATCCAAAACCGTCAAGGAACAACTGCCCTCTTCCGCAGTCCCATCTCCCATTCCATCCATCTAATTACAGTTTATATAACCAAACAACTAAAAAGGAAAACAGCTCAAGTAAATGAGTGTATGGTAGGTCAGTTATGTACAGAACTAAAGGAGTGGCACCAAGGACCCCATCATAACAAATGGGATTCTTGAAAAAGCCGAGCTCGCTCCATTCATACTCGTATGTACTTTGAATATCTCTTTCTCGTTCTCTTTCTCTCTAGGAATTGCCCAGCAAAACCACAAAGTTGTTCATCTTCATCTCTTCCGTGTTATTGTCATTATATTATTTCCAACTCTTGTTTGTCGTGTTATCCGAGATTGCTGTGTATTGCCGTGGGCCGATGTAGAGAAAGCTTGATGGATAGCGAGAAGCTTACTCGGGCTTTCCGAGGATACCGCGGGCCATGTGGCGCTTGCGGAGGTTATACTCGACGGCGCGCTTCTTGGCGGCAGTGCTCTGGGTGAAGGCAGCGGAGCCACCGAAAGGACCGGCAAGGGCAGCGTTCTGCATGCGAACGATGCAGACGTTGGTGGCGCCACCGGCGGTACCGGAGCAGGTCATGCCAGCGGGCATCTGGACCTTGACGGGGAAGTCCTTGACGGCGGCGGCGGAGAGACCTCCAATACCGATACCGGGGACGTTCTGCATGACGGTTGCGTCCTGGAAGGCGGCGGGGTCTGTACCAGCGGAGGTGGCGTCGATCTGGGCGGTCAGGGGACCGGCACCGTCCTGGTTGACTTGGTGGAAGGTCATGGTGATGGTGCCGTCGTCGGCAGTGGTGGGCAGACCAGATGTTGCTCCGGTACCTGCGGCTTTGGCGACACCACCCTCAGTTCCTGTGGACTTGGTGCCAGCAGAGGCAGCACCAGCGCCGCCAGCGCCACCACCGGTAAGAGCATCGAGGAAGCCACGCTTGGCACCAGCTGCGGCACCGGCACCGGCACCTCCAGCAGCACCTCCCATGAACATGGAGATAGCGGCACCAGCGTCAACGGCACCGCCACCCTGGGTGCGTCCAAGAGCAGAGGCCTTGCCACCCATCTCGCGGGTGCGGATGATGGAAGTATCAGCCTCGGAACCGCAGAGAGGAGAGGCGCAGTTGCGAGGAGTACCGTCCTGGACGGAAAGACCGGGCATGGTTACACCATTGGCACCCTGGATCTCAGAAACGACACCGTGGGCCTGGACGGAGGCGGCGATAGCAGCAATGGCAGCGAGAGAGTAACGCATCTTGATGGATATGAAGTTGGTTGATAAAAAGGTTTAAAAAGAGTTGAAGATAGTTGAGAGTATTGAGTGAGAAAGATGTAATGAGTAGTGAATTAAGCAAGCGACCGGCGCAAGAAAGTAATTAGAAGGATGGAAGGAAGGGAAGAAAGCGAGTCTGGTTGGTTTGAATGTTGAGTGATGGTGATGTCGACCTTAGGAGGACGAGCAGTGAGGTTTATATACAGCTTTCTCGCAGTGGCTTGTCAGCGGTCCAAAGCTTAGCATAGACACAAGCATTCAGCGGTCTGCGTCTCCGATCCACCCAGGCAAGATGGCGCCCGCGACCCCTTGCTGCCATGGCCAAACACGATGATGGCCGTCGAGGGAGGCTGTGATACCGAGAGCACAGGCCCTGACCGGAGAGCTGAGACGATGCTGGTCGAACGATGGTCATGGTTACTCCGCTAAGGCCAATTCCGCTAGGATATCCACTGCGGGACGATCATCTCCAGAAGCTTGGTTTAGGATCTTCCCAAGGCTGCTTCGGAACAATGATGTCGCGTTGTGGGAGCGCGCATTGATGTTTGGCATCTGAGGAAGCATGTCTGCAGATGTGTATCAGCAGCGAGGTTTCGATTCAGGCTCGGCGATCGAAACAGCATCGAGGGAACATCGTTTCGCTATTGCATGCTCGCTTTCGCATTCCTGTGATATCACCGGAATCACGCAGACTTTCGCAGGTCGTGGTCATACACAAAAGTAAGCAACGAGATAATATCCCTGGCCGTTATCGGCAGCTATCCACCGCTTGTCGTTCATGAACGGTTAGCCAGCAATCCGGCCGAGGTGAAAAGGCGATGGTTGTTTCAGTAGCGGGTTTTGAAACTCTAAAGTTTGGTATCGTTCGAGGGTTAGCGCGTTGCTTCTTGCCTCAGCTACAGTCCCGGATATTCCCGAAACCTTCGAGCCGCCTCAAGCACGACCATGACTTGACTTCGACACTTCTAGGTGACTCCACTGTAGCACTGTAATAGAGAAGAAGGTTGAGAATGACAGCTTCGAAAACGCGGAGCGGTGAGATTGTCGAACAACATGCAGGTTCTGGACGCGGATCTTCATGCTATCGGCTTCCAGTGTTTCGCTATGCATGTCGGTCACAGCAAGGCTTGCCACATCTGGACTGTACGGAGCAGTGGTCGCAGTAGCTGCATCGTGAGGCAAACGCTGCAGTCGCAGAACCGGACTGGCCAACACCGGAACATTGGTATCAACGACACTGGCCATCTACAAAGGGAACTCCTGAATCAGCGTATCAATACACCCTGCTTCTCTCTAACGATCAAGCCTATCGACCTCTAACATCCGCAGCCTCTTTGTACCCGACCTGACTGCCTGGCCTTCTTGGACTTCTTCTTGGTAAGCTTCTAGTTGACCCCAAACTGTCCTTGTGTCCAAGCCTTGAAGTCCCTGACCTCTTTTATCCATATGTATCGAATACATATTTCCTGGAGCTCATAGAAGAGCGCCCCCGCTTCAACGAAGCCTTTGGTGATGGAGCTTTTGATGAACAACAGCAGTATCATGACAGCGCGACGTTGCGCATCCTTTCCGTATTCAACGATCGGGGTACCGTTGCCAACACCGTTGGTGGTTCCATTGGTGATTCCGTTGGTAGTACCGTTGGCAGTTCCATTGGTCGTGCCATTGGTCGTTGTCTCCTCCTGCGACGTCGGAGGGGGCGCCTCCATCTTCTCGATAAGCCGCATTGCGTGCTGTATGAAATGGATGGTAACGTCTTGACCATCAATCCCGCTGTCAACGAAGGTGTGGTTGGTGTGTAGTTTGGTGAGGAATTCTAGGGACGATAGCTCGAGTGGAAGATGCGCGAGTTCTTGCACGGCTTGTTCGGGTTCGAATTTGAGCTTTCGGGTTACGGCTTCATCCCATGACTGTGAGCTGTTAACTTCTTGCGCCCGAGTAACGTGCAGTGACTCCTCGTCTTCCGCTGGTGCTGTGGGCTTCTGGACAGGCTGTGCAGGAGCTCGTACTTTCGGCTCTGGCAGCACGTCCCAAACCTCAGTCTCAACGAGCATGCACATATACGGTTCCAGATCGAAGGTTGCTAGTGGAATACCATCCATCTTAAGGCGGTCCAGTATCAAGTGGGGTGAGGCTTTGGATGACGACGGCTCCCACAGCAGGAGCCCCATGATGTATTCTGCCCTGGTCTTCCGAACTTCCGCAGCAGTGACAGTGTCGTTGCTGTTCGCCTTGTCTTCCTGCCCTTCGGCTGCCTCATTGTTGATCTCCTGGAGGGCCTCTACCCAGTGCGACAAGTAAACCTTGTGCTTCATAGGTGTCTCTTCGGCCAACTTCCACAGTTTGTACTCGCAGTTCAAGATGAGCCTGAGCACTGGCAGAGTCGGCTCAAGTTTGGCCTGTTGGACGTACGCGTCGAGCGTATTCTTGACCCGGATCGATTCAATAAATGAATTAGGGTCGTTATTTAGCGAGCGCATAATTTTGTCGAGCTTGCGGATCGCGCCATCGTGGTCAAAGGCTGAGCTGGTGAGCGCGTCGATTTCGGCGTCTGTGAGCGTGGCATTCATGAAGCTCATACTGGGCGGTATTTATATCGCGCCTTGCGCTTCGAACGATAGGAATGCGGTGAGTGATACGGTTCGGAGTGGAGGGAATACATAAGGGTCGAAGTGGGCGCGAGGTGTGACGGTCGTGAGTGCTGGTGCGGAGCGCGTGAACCTTGGAAAGAACGGCGATGCACGTGCCAAGCATAGCATCGTGCCTCTGGTTCAGCCGCACATCAGACTGGAGAAGGATAACACACCGACTCTGAGTGGTTGTCATGAGACATATCTGCTAACCCTGAAATATATTGGTAATCATGAGGTGCAGATCGCATTCGCGACCTTGAGCCCTGGCGCGACCACCAATGCCTTGAACGTTCCTTGCCTGTTTGTACTGATTGCTTCTAGCCGTCTTCCCTATCCGATCTTCGTAACATCACACATGACATTCATGCTTGCGCATCGTAGCAATTGGAAAAGGATGTTCGTAGAATGTTTGATTATATTCTCATTACAGCACGCTCGTAGAAACGCACCAGGATGCTCGCGAGGAAACCTGAGATTGTCCCAGAAAACCAAGACGCCAGAACCTGAAGCTATTCATGACATTACAGACGGAGCCAAGCCAAAACCACCTCCACCCGACCGGAAGCTCCGGAATCCCCAAGCGACACCATGCGCAATGTGTCCTGGCATCGAAGATA